CCTGGGCAGATCTTCCCACCAGCTGGGGCTGGCACTATCAGCATGGAACAGAGGTAAAAGCCCTTCCCTGGAGAGGAGGTCCTTACTTCCCTTGGATCAAAGCAGAAGATCTGGTGGGATCTGAGGTGACTGAAACACATGAAGGGGGTGAACGACATTTATTCCCAGACTTGGGAGGGAACGGAGCATTTCCTCAAGAAGGAAGCTCACCTGGAGATACCACCAAGCTGATAATTCTGAGAATAGTGACCAAGTTGCCAGAAGAGTTGTAGCTTCCACATCAGTAAGGCACTGGGTCCTCCTCCCTCAGCTAAATCATGGTGATGAAAAAGCCAGCATCTAGCCCACCCTAGATTGTGTGCTGAGAGTTCTGAGCTGTCACATGGGGATTGGAGCTGCGACCAATCTGGCAGACTCATTTGCAGATATTTGCTGACACTGGGTTTTCCTCATAGGGCTCTCCCTTGAGAGGGTACTGGCATTGCACAGAGAGTGCCTGTCCCACCAATTCATAAAGTTCCACAGGCACAACTCTATTTCCCCAGGAACCTGGATAACAAGCCCTCAAGTCAGGGCCCTAGCTGTCCCCAGCTACACCTCTCCCAGGGTTGGGGTAAGGGGAGAGAAAGTGCACACCCACAGCATAGTCCCCAAAGCCAGTCGTCTGGTCACAGAGCCACCCTCCTCCCTGCCCCATCCCTCCCCTTCACCCTGTCCATCTCACCTGAGGCGAGGAGCACCAGCAGGACAGGTGGCAGGATCAAGCATAGGGCTCCCCAAGGATGCTACCCCCAACCTGTTTCTGACAGTGGAGGAGAGAAGGGGAGGCCTCTGGGGAGAGGGAAGCAGAAGGTGAGCTTGATTCTACTCCAGCTTCCCAGCATTTCAGAACTAGAAGAATCAAGAAAGGCCAACACCTTGATTGGGGAAGTGAGCAGCCTTACAGGTAGGCTATGAGGGCAGTGGGGAGGAAGGAGCAGCTAGGCCTGGGTGGGGGTCCACCACCTTCAGGGTCTGTTTCTGGGCCTGGAGACCTCAGTTCTGCCTCAGGTATTCACTTTTGCCCAGCTTCTCCCCATTTCTGTCATGCCACACCTTCCACCCCATCACATTCCTCCACCATTGCTACAGAAAGCTCTGAGAATGCCCAAGAAGAGAACTATGGTAAAAGAAGAGGCCATTCCTCTATTCTTTTTTTTTTTTTTTAAGAGAGAGAGAGATAGAGCACGTGCACAAGCAAAGTGGGGCCAGGGAGGAGGAGCAGAGGGAGAGGGAAAGAGAGACTCTTAAGCAGGCTCCGTGATTAGCGGGGAGCCTGACTTGGGGCTCTATCTTACTGAGGTCATGACCTGAGCAGAAATCAAGAGTGGGACGCTCAACCGACTGAGTCACCCAGGAGCCCCACCATTCCTCTATTCTTTCTCTCCATGCACTACCTGTGCATGGTTGGGGGGCCGTGGAGTCCCTGTCCCCCCAGGGCAGCACAGGGACTCTACTCCCAGGCATGGTGAGTCAATGATGTGTTTTCACCCTGGGAGGTTTTTGAGTGGAGGGCAAGTTTCAATTCCAGGCACTGTGAGGATGGTCCCTGCAAGAGGTGGGGGCCAAAGGAGGCAAAGAAGTGCTGAACAGGGAGTATCAGAGGGGAAGGCAAGAGGGACAGGTCTGTTGGGCACAGGAAGCAAGGAGGAGAGCTCAGCACCAGCTCCATCTCTTCACTTCTCATTCCCTAAAGGTGGTCCATCAACATTGGTTGGAAGAATACTTGAAAAAGTCTTTCATTTTAACAATGTGTGTGTATAATGTGAAGAGGGAAAAAACATCCAATGTTGGAACAAACTGAGAGACAAAATAAAGTGGTAAAGTATAAAATAACTATCCATGAACCCATACTGATAGAAGTAAATAATTGAGTAAATTTATAGATAAGGGAGAATAGACAAATCTGTACAGAAGAATTCTGGATAGTTTATATGGATCCTCTGCCCTCAAGGGGGGAGCATAACCCCCACCCCTTAAGTGTGAGCTGTCTATGGTGCCTTCTCCCAAAAAGAACAGTGTGGAAAGAAGGAAAGAGTAACTTCAGAGTGGACAAACCTGGCAAACACCACCTCAGCTCTGTGATCGATGTTAAGAGTGTCCACAATAATCGTGTGGATTGTATGTGCCTCTGACATGATTTGATGAGAATGGCACTTTACTTCTACAGTCTTCCTCCCCAAACCCCTATCCTCACGAGAGAAAATCTCTAACAACTCTCAAATCAAAGACAGGTATTTTTTAAGAATTTAGTTTGATTAGGCACAAAGAACAGCAAATATGACCATGTAAGGGACTAGCAGATCTAAGGAAAGCACACCGACCATGTACGTAGCCCAGTGTGCATTGAAATCACATGGCTGGGGTTCCCAGTTGGTTATAACCTAGTTCCTCCCTAGATGTGTCCAGTCTTCAGAGCATCCTGTTCAGGTAATAGGATTGTCTCACCTCCCTAAAATGAGCGGACACTCAGGTCTGCTCAAGACATCACACAACCCTGGACCTCTCTGCCCTGGTCCTGCTGTGGAACTGGGCCGCAGAGAGGACCAGGGAGAAGGGTGACAACAGAGGGGAGGAGGTAGGAAGGTGGAGTCTCTGAGGAGAATGAGCAGGAGGCCTAGAGCCCAAGCTGTCACTGGGCACCAAGAGGCGGCCCAGGGCAGAGGGGACAAAATGGAGGAGGGGTCTATAGCTACTTCCTGTCTGTGACCACATGTTCTCACCACAGAACTAAAGTGAGGGCTCAGCTACCCTGCATTAATTGGATTTCTAGGCTCTGTTAAAGGTCTCAGCCTACATTAAGACCCCTCAGTCTGTGCCCACCCCTTTCTCTGGCCCACAGTGTGTCTGGTCTCCCCAAGGTCCCAGTCCTGACTGCCATGCTGGTCATGCCTCAAACCGTGCTGAATTCCTCCCGGAGCTCCTCCCCAACTAGCCTCACAGGTGTCGAGCCATAAATGGGTCCTCTTGCAAGAAGCTGGTGCAGAGGCCTGTATGCTGCTCACGATGGTACCTAATCCTGTGCTGTGGTAGATATTGTCCTAACGCTACCAATACTGTGAGCCCCCTGAAGGCCAGGCAGCTTTTTCTCTCTGTTAGTCCTGCTTTGCTCAAGCCTGCAGCAGCATCCGGGCATCCGCCTTGATCTGATAAGGAAGGAACCACAGAGCTCATCTCCAGCCTCTTATTGTGGAGGCTGAGCTGCAAAGCAGGCCAGTGACTTATCCAAGTTCTCACGGAGATTGCACAGCTGAGCCAGGCATTTGAACCCTGTCCCCCCAACACACCCTAGCACTTTGCCCACTGCTGAGCAGCCTCATCCACCCTGGCTCCCAGCAACGTGTCTCCATCATCCTTCCAAATGGGTTGAGCTTGCACCCACAGACCCAAGGACAAGGCAGCATTGGAGGAGACTTGGGGGAAAAGGGTGAAAGGATTTAGGCACCAAAATCATATGAGCCCTTTCTTTGAGAATGAAAAATAAAAAATCAGAAGTGTGATTCTCTTTTTTTTTTTTAAAGAGAAGAATCTGCTTTAATTGAATGGACACTCTAAGTCAAACTACCCAGCTGTAAAAGTACCATGTGCTATAAAATGTTTCAATCTATATTAATAAGAAGCTAAATTTATAACAAGGAACTGAAAGCTTTGTTGGCCAACCGATTCTGTTGAAAGAGAATGCTTGAAAGCGGAGCTGTGGGACAGAATTTCCTGCTGTGGTGGAGAGGTTCCCTATCTTCCTGCCCAGCACAGTAGCCGCTAGCCACGTACCGTTGCTGAACATCTGACACGTGGCAGGTGCCACTGAAGAGCTGAATTTTTATATTTCATTTAATTTTAATTAACTTAAATGTAAATAGCCATGTATGGTTAGTGACTAGAGTATTGGCACAGCTTTAGGTGACTGAGGTCAACTTTAACAATATCTTGCCCCCCTCAGAAGGGACAGATCTCTTTGTTTGTGAATGTCAAAACTATAAAGCTAATAGAAGATCATGTATGAGAAGATCTCTGTGCATTCTCTAAAAGACAATATTCAAAATATTACTGTGCTTCAGATTGGGATGCACATCTTAAATAAGATCCCCAAACCTAAGTCATAAAGGGAAAAATGGATGGATTTAATTACATTGTCAAATGCTGTCATCCCAAATATCAGCAACACAACCTGTGGGGATGAGAAAGCTGAGTTTATTGCTCATGGCGATCAGGGGAGACACCGCCTTGGCAGAGCTGTGGCAGCGTCCTAGAGGAAGTCAAGGTCCGAAATTATTGAGAAGTTTGGCTTAAGGCAGGTCTTAGCATAGGAGGGGCTGCATCAGGAGTGGGAAAGGGTTGCAGTACAGCAGTCCAGGATTGGTAGGAACAGCAAGGCGAGGATTTTGAGGCAGGGATTCAAAGATTCTTAGGGTGCAAACTATCTCATGATGCTTTCCATTGAAGAGTCGATGGATCTTTCAGGAAGTTTCTATAATGAACAATGAAACCATTTGCCTGGGCAAGAAAACACCTGGAAAAGTAAAGTAATACTTACAAACAGTGGAAGAGCAAAGTCATGTTCACATAGGCAGTAAGATGTGGCCAAAACAGAAGGTAGTTATAAATGGTTTCAGTGCACAGCACAAACATTTATTCTTCAAACAAAGGCTATCGTGGACAAAAGCAACATCGGCAAAGAGCTCCACGTGGACCCTGGCCCGCCTACCTGCAGCCACAGGAGCCATGCAGGCAAAGGTTTGAACTGCAGCTACTCTGAGTCAGACAGATCCACTTGGGCTCTTCCCAGGGTGAGAGACAATGGCAGTGAACACCTGCTACTCACGACCTGATCCCCTCCTGGAAGGCAGTTTCTCATCACCCCCCATATTCTGATGAGGTACGAGGCTTTCTGCTGACCGCCTCAGAACAAACCATAAGACCACTAAGTGGCCGTCACCAATGGGCTCCTCAGCTATGGGGTATCACGGCTGGTTGCAGTTCTCTGACCCGTTTTGTTCTGGAGTATGGGACGAGGACCCCAGGAAGTTGGAACATTCAGCTGATCTTCCTTTCACTACCTGTGTAAGTAATAGACGGTCTAAATCTAAAAATGGCTCCTTGTGTCTTCTGCACCAAATCACTGAGGCCTGGCCTCATGTGTGCTTGCCGAGTAACAGATGAGAGACTGAGGGGAGATATTTGCAGTGTCTAAAACTGACCATAGATGAATACCTTAATGAACCAAGGAGTTACTAAGAATCAGCAAGCAAAAGAAAGGAAGTCCAACAGCAAAATGAACAGAAGCAAGAGATCCAGCGCAGAAAAAATCCAAATGCCTAACCAGCCCATGGATAGATGTTTGATCTCGTTAGTTCTCAGAGGAACACTTGTGTGAAACACTGAGCTGCCATTTTGCACTCGGCAGACTGGCAGGGACTAGGAAGTTGGATAAGATTCAGTATCGGTGAACATGTGAGAAAGTTTTGGAACTTCCATGTGGAATAAGTGTATGACTGTCCTACTCTCAGTGTCCAACTCCTGAATGTATACTCTATCGTGGTTACTGTTTTTTGGGGTTTTTTTTGTCCTGTTTAGGAAACATTTGCCTACTCCAAGGTCATAGTTTCTGTTTTCTTCTAGAAGCTTGATTGTTTATACCTTTCATATTTAGGTCTATGATCCATGTTAGTTCATTTTTTGTATGGTGTGAGAGAAGGGTAAAAGCCTTTTTTCCCCCCTAAGCAACTATCCAATAGACCATCACCATCAGTTGGGAAGACCAACCTTCCCCACTAAATCACAGAGGCACCTGTGTGATAATCAGGTGAATACACGTATGGGTGTGTCTCTGAACCTTTGTTCTATTTGCCTTATGCCCCCTGGGTGCTCTAGAAAATACCCTACATGGGTCCTCCAGGAAGATGATGGGGATGTTTACTTCAAACTGCTTTTTGTTTTTCTGGATTTTGCTTGTTTATTTTGTATACTCTGCTGCTGAAGCAGGTGAGGTGTCCATCACAAGGGGAATGGAAAAGTAAAATTCAACACTTACATGGAATCATATATAGCAGTAAAAAAAAAAAAATCAAAGACTTAGATTTACATATAGCAACAAGGATAGTCTCAGAAGCAAAGTAGAAGGATTGTGTGAAATTTATAAACAGAGTTATAGTTTTCAAAAAAATGGTTAAATCACAACTTTCATACAGTTAAAAAAAATTAAAGGTTCTTTTTAACTCATACTCAGTGAATAAACCAGGCAGATGTTAGGACCGTTAGAAAAGGAAGTCAAGAAGCATACATTTATATGGAGGAAAGGAATGTTGAAACAAATTGCATAGGAAAGCAAACCAGTCTGGGGTTTATTTCCCCCCACAGGGGGGGAAGAAAAGACAGAATCTGCATGTCTATCATTTACCTACAACTTACAAAACTATGAAATAGCTCCCCCAGAATCAGAATCAGAGAGCAGAAGGAAGAATGTGCTAGAGACAATGCAGTTTTCCACTGAAGTGCACATTTTTTATACAACAGAATATAATGTGTTAAAACAAAGCACATAAAATCAATACTACATATTTCCAAGGATCTACATAGATAAAAATAAACATATGGACACTAGATTGAAAGGGCATACATTAAATATATGAAGAGGATGCCTGTGGGGAGGGAGCACAATGGGTGGGTGAAGATGAGAAAAATAAAAATCACATTAAACCAAGTAAGTGGTAAAGTATTTCCATAGGTGACTGTACCAAGGGGTAAGGAGTGTGGCAACTCAGTTTTGAGCACTTAAAGATCTTAAATTAAAAAAAAAAAAAGCAAAAACAAAGCATGTTTGCATTCTGTTTGCAATTGGCCTTCTCCTCCATCTTTTAGGAGGATGTTACTTCCTAACATAAATGAGAGGATGTACGTCCAGCCTGGAACAGGAACTGGTTTATCCAGTTTTCACTTACATGACTGCCATGGAACCTGAATTTTCCAAATGTCACTGAATAATTAATGGTCATGGGGGCATCCCAGGAGTAGATTGAAATAGATGGATGGGAAATAGGAGTCATTTTTTTAAACATGCAGAGATTTTTTGAGAAAAGTACCATAGATTTTGGAATAGGAAAAAAATAGGAATTTTCTGTGTTTGTATCTTATTATGTGATATGCAAAACACATAATAATGTCCAATATATTTTTTTGGTAAATAGGAACTTTTATTATAAAATAACTTCATAATAAACAAAAGGGTATATTTGTCATAACACAACAAAGAATGTATGTTTGTATTTGTCTTTCATTGACCATAAAAAAACAAAGACCTTTCAAATTTGAACTATTTTCATCTCAGTTTTGGCTGAGATTGTTTGGGCAGATGCTGTGGACCAATCCTTTCTCCTTCTCATGGGCCTTTCTGTACAGTAAAAGGTCTACACAATCTTTTCTCAGACTTTCTGACAGCTAGGGTTCCAGATATAATTTAGGCCCCACCAATCAAATGCATTTGTGCGAGACTTAAGTTTGGAGGAAAGGCATCCATTTTGCTGGTGTGGATTGTGGCTGAGGTGGGGTGAGGCTGGAACCAGAAGCTAGGCTGGCAGCTTCCTGATTTGGGAAGTTTTCTGATTCTTCAGCGTCCTGACTGTCACAAGAGCAGTGACCCCTTAGCAGCCCCACCCTGTAGTGTGGCGTTGAGAGTGATTCCCAGTGGCTCACAGTAGGATCTGATTCTGTAAATCATTTACTATTCTAGTTTTTAAAAATCCCTTCCTATATAAAATAGGCAGATTGGATTTAGCTGTCTGCAACTAACACAAGTCTCAAGAAAATAGATGCCATATTCCAGAGTGAGGCATGGGCAACCCATGCAAAAAGTATTCAAACCTCACCCACACTAGGGTTATGCATTTGCAGAGATTTTGAAGATTAGGAGAGGATTTTTAGACACAGTTTGGATATATTATGACCCTGGGGTAGAGGGGAGTGGATGTCTGCTCCTTTCCTCAAGCCCAGGGAAAGGGGCTTCAAGATCACAACTTGGAGAGCTTAAATGTCTTCTGCACTTGAAAGACACAGCAGACTGGTGTCTGACTCCAGCCTAAGAACTGTAACTGACAGAGACTGCCTTTGGCTAGATGTCCCAATGATGGAGTGGAAAACTGGTTGTGTGGGGATCCACCAGGGCTCCATGAGTTTGTTGGGGTGAATGAAGTGGGTATTTCCCATGGACCAGATGTGAGCTGCACATGTGTGAGCCCACCAGTATGGGTTGTCATGGATCCTGTCCAAAAAGGCTGCCTGGAGGTGGACAGACCCCATGGAAGGAAGCTAGAGGTTGACTGATGTAGGTGAGGAAAATAATTTTCCCTCTATCCTTCTGGTAGAGACTGAGGCTCCTGTAATAAAAGACAGATTAACAAGTGAAAAACAAACAAAAGTTTATGAACATGTATACCTCATGTATACGGGGGAGAGAACCAGGGGGAAAACTGAGTAACTCCCCAAGGTGGCTTAGAGCTCCAGCTTAAGTTCTGTCTTCAGCTAAAGACAAAAGACAGGTGTAGGGAGGCCAGTATGGGGAGATTAGTTCCACGAAAAGCATTGTAAACAAGAGGTAAGTTTCATTAGGCAGATTTCAATCCATGCCTTCTCCATGGATAAGTTTCTTCTATGATTTAGAGTCATCCTTCTCATCCTGGTACAGAGAGGGAGACACCATTACAAATGGCAATTTCCTTCATAAATGTAAATTTCTCTCTTAAAAGGTTAACCTGACTGACCCTCAGAGCAGCAGTGATAGGTGAGAGCTTCCCTGCTCCTTTCCTCTTCCCTTCCACAGCTCCAGTCCTAGGGTGTCAGAAGCTACAGCAAGGGGTAGAGATGGTGGCTGAGGAAAGAAAGAAAAACCAGCCTGTATCCTTCTGTCCCTCTAACAGAGGGACAAAATCTAGAGGATCTGGAGGAGAAGATTTCATTTTAAATGGAACCCCTTTTACCCTTACTGAACTGAAGCTAGTTTAGGAATAAACTTTATAATGCTTAGAAATGCCCAGAAGGGTGTGGATGAATAGGCAGAGCACAGAGGGGTTTTAGGGAGTGAAACTACTCTGTGTGATACTACGGTGGTGTGTACACATCAGTACACATTTGTCCAAACCCCTAGCATGGACAACACCAAACACGAGCCCTAAGGTGAACTATGGGCTTTGAGTGACACTAATGCATCAATGTAGATTCATCGATTCTAGCAAATGTACCACTCAGGGACAGGATGTCTATAGTGGAGGAGGCTGTGCATGTGGTGGGACAGGGGAACTCTCTACTGTATCCTCAGTTTTTTTGTGAACCTGAAACTGCTCTCAGAAATAAAGTCTATTTTTCAAAAAATGACCAGAAGAGTGATGGGTCTTCCTGTACGTTTTACCAGGGGGCCAGCAAGATCCTCAGCAGAGCAAGTCTAGACAGCAGTAAGAGAACAAATATAAAGTTCATCTGAATTACACTTTGTGAGTCCCAATTGTGAGTCCCAATACAGAAATCGACTGCCATTCCTTAGCCCTGATGACTCCCCATGGGTTTCTTTGCAGCCAGCCCTCTACATCCCACCCCCCCGCCATTACTACTCTTCTCCCTCTGGGTAAGAAAGGGGTCAGAGATCTCACAAAGATGTTCAGGAAACCTCTTATTTACCACTGAACAGAGTGGAACGTGGTATTTGTTAGTGGAGGAAGGCATGCCCGTCTGCTCCTGGAAGCTTAAGTCTGCTTCCCTGGGTTTGCTCTGCCCTGGGGACACCTCAGGAGGCTCCCTTACCAGAGGAGTGACAGAAATGAATTATATTTGAAAATGATGCATCTGGAGTGCCTGGGTGGCTCAGTTGGTTAAGTTCAGGCTTAGTCTGCTTTAGGCTCAGGTCATGATCCCAGAGTCCTGGGATCGAGCCCCACATTGGGCTCCCTGCTTAACAGGGAGTCTGCTTCTCCCTCTCCCTCTGCCCCTGCCCCTCTTGTGCTCTCTCCCTCTCTCTCTTTCTCTCTCGCTCTCTCAAATAAATAAAATCTTGGGGAAAAAAGGAAGGAAGGAAGGAAGGAAGGAAGGAAGGAAGGAAGGAAGGAAGGAAGGAAGGAAGGAAGAAAATGATGCATCCACGCCAGCCCCGGTCTGCATCTTCCTCCCTCCTCTGAAGATAAGACTGGATTGCCAGTAACAAAAATTTTCACCCTGCCCCTCCCACCCATCCCAAGAAACCAGCCCAGCCCCATTCACATCATTCCCAATGGTGGGCCTTGCCTCCTCTCCAGACTTCTTAGCACAGAAGTGAGGAAATTCAGGGGACAGGCTCTGGGGAACTCCTGGGAGCTGGTCCCTTTAAATCCACATCTGCAGCTAACACCTGTGTCCCCTCATTTAGTTCCACTCAAGCCTGTCCCTGGCCCCCACTCACCTGAGCCCAGGCTTTCTGGAGAGAGATAAACAAGACAGAGAATACCAGGCCCTTGTTCAGGATGAATCCACATATCAGAACAATCACCAGCAGCAGCAGGCCTGTGGAAAGGGCAAACACTGGAATCCTAAGCTCCCCCCGCCCGCCCCAGAGTCCAAAAGGGTGGGTATCTGCTGAATGTTCTGCTCTAAAGCTCAGCCTCTCCTGGCTATGAGAGCAGCCAAGTGGGGGTTTATACCCTTTGAAGACAGGGCCTCTATTTTTACCAGGATCCTTAACCCCAGCGCTCACCCTAAAGGAATCTATCTGGCTTCCTGCCCCTAACACCTCCCTTCTCCAGACCTCCTGCACAGCTGCTGCATCACTCTGCACTGAGACCCTCACTCTTCCCCTCAGGGTGCCTAGGGAAAGCCCTTCGTGTTCCTCATTGCCTACAGGACAAAGTGCGCATGACTGCGTGGCCTTCAAGAGTTTCCACAATCTGAATGCATGGTCTTGCGTTAACTTTACCCTCTCCTCAACACTCAGTCCAACTGTCCACCTCTGTAGCTGACACACTCTGTGCATGCATTCCCACCACTTGCTCCTGGCATGGAATGCCACCCCCTTTGTGCCTTCAACATTTCTTCCCCTCCAGGTAGTGTTCTCTGACACCCACCCATGGCTTGCACTCCCCAATAACTCTGGGTAAGGATGGACTTCTGTTGATCCCATTCCTTAACTCTGAGGAAGAGGCGGCTAATACTCAGACTCCATTGGTGCCAGGGCCCCATTTTCTAAGTGGTGCCTCATTGTCAGGGGTATAATATGCCTGCATGTTCTCAGCTCCCCAACTCCCAGCTCCTTTCGTCTGTGGCTGGTGGATGGGACCCTTGCTGCCTTGAAGTAGTAACATTCAATGCTTGCTTTGGGGCTTCAGGATAGAAACAGAAGTGAAGGTCATTCTGCCCGTTAGGGTTCATGACTCCCTTGGCCTGCCTGGAGCAGAAGAAAGTCTTCCATGTGGCCAGCCTGGCTCCCTGGAGTCCACATGTGGGGGCCTGAGCTGAGGGCCTCAGCTAAGCCCTTACACTGCTTTGCTTTGGCTTCCATGGAGCAACCCTCATTCAGACACAACTTACATTGGATCCAGATTGCCTTGGTTGGTTCTCTTGGCCAGTGTCATTTTCTGGAAGAGATAAAAAGCCCTTCTGAGCCTTGCCTGACATGGGCTCCTACTGGGCACCCAGATAATGCTTGCTGAAGATGGCTCAGCATCCCCGGAGCTTGCCAGCCTATCTGTACAACCTGGTTGACTTAATCTGAGCCCAAGAGGGACCTCCTTCTCCTCCATGCTGAGCAGCCCTCTCCCAAAATCATTGCCATGGGACTACACTCTGTTTACGAGAGAAACATTCACAGGGTCCTGGAAGGTCAAAGGTAAAAGGAGCATTCAATACCATCCAGTCCAACCCCCCAAGGAACAGGGTGACAGGGAGTGCCCGTGGTCACTCAGCAGACAGAACCAGCACTGGGACCCACGTTTCCTGACTCCATTCCTATATATCTCTGTGACATCCAGCTGGCCTCAGCCTCTTCCAGAGTCTCGTCCAGTGAGCGTAGTCTAATCTTTCAGCTCTTAGCACCCATGTCCTCTCAGCCCATCACAGTCTAGTGACCCACTCACCTGCCTTAATGGTCCTTCTACTCTTGCCTCCAACCTAACATGGAGCTTGCCCATGAGGCAGGGAATCTCTCTCCTGCCCCCCCTTTGACCACTCCCCTCCCTGGCCCACCTTCTCTCCTAAGTTCCCATTTCAGGCCTCCCTTCCTACCGTGGGGTTGGGTGGACAACATCCATCATCTCCTTATATCCCCACAGTATATTTTCTTTCTGTGGTCAGCAACTACCATAACCTCCTCTACTTGGAAAACTGAAGAAAAAGTCAAGAAGAATAAAGAAGGACTCCCCCCCAGTGCACTGAGGGAACATCCATTTATCTCTGGGCAGGCCAAGCCCATCCCCAAAAGAAACCTTCTCTGTTTGTTTGTTTAAACCTAACTAAAAATCAGTCCCTGACTACCCTTTCCTCCCGGTACAAACTCAGTCATTACTGCTGGTACCCTTTCCAGAGGATTATATTTTGTCTCCCCTGTGAGACTAATAATTCCTTCAAGCAGGAGCAATCTGTACTAGACTTGGTTTCCTTAGCCACATTAGCTTAGAGTTTTCTCCAATACTGGAGGAAAGGAATATGAAGCCGCTACCAGCTTTCTCAAACTCACAAAGTGTGAGTGTGGAAGACCCAGGTGCACTGATTTCGGGTCTGGAGCTTTTCCCATTACTCTACGCCATCTCTCCAAAGTAGCCCTCCCAGCAGATGGGGCCCCAGCCTGTGGCTGAGGTCAGCCTCCGCAAAAACCCTTCCCTGTCCTGGGTCTTGCTGCTTCTCACCTTTGCGCTCTATCAACCGAATCTCTTTGGACAGGACATGGGGGTTCCGAGGTGAGAGGTCGATCATGCACTGGTACAGCCCCAAGTCCTGCCACCGGAGCTCTGTCCCTGTGACCTTGCATACAACCTCCCTGGGACAATCCTTTAGCAGGTATCTCCTGGCCTGGGCCCAGTTTAGGTCTTTGCTCCTAGTGTTCATGCGCACCAGTGTCTCTGGGGAGGCCTGGCTGTTCTCCCATTGCCAGGCCTTCAGGCTGGAGGAGGAGAGCATGATGTTGTAAGAACCAACTATGGTCCAGTTCTTTCCTCCCAGCAAGCACTTTTGTTTCTCCCCTTCACCTACAGCTTGGAATCCTAGAATGAGAAGTCAAAGTGCTTCACTGAGCAAATGTTTCTTCCATCTTCCTTACATCTGCAGACCCCAGTGCAGATACAAGGTCGTAGATCAAAAGTATTAAGAGCTCCATCAAATATTTATGAGTAATTTAGGATTTCTATAAATTATTTTGAAATGGTTCAGCAGTTTTATAAATACATATGGAGCAAATAAGGCAAAACATCAATTATGGTTGAATGTTTGAATTTGAATCTAGGTAATAAGTTTGTGGGGGCTATTCTTTCCATATTTTATAGATGGGAAAATTTTAATAATAAAATGGTAAAAAAAAAAAGTAAAAAAGAACTTAACCAGTTTTACAACCCATATTCTATTCTACTTGTGCTTCCCCAGACATGTCCCTTGCTTTCTAGTACACAAGACTTCATACTAGCTCCTGTCATCCCCAGGTTGAATGCTCTCCCCACTCCTTGCCACCCACATCTGCCCCTTCTGGTCCCAGAAGAGAGTCTACCTGAACAATTCCACCTGCACTAATCTCTTTCCCCTTTCAACCCGCAGTACCATTGATCACCCTGCACCTGCTTGCACCACCACCACCACCACCATCATCATCATCCATAACTTTTATTAAGCCACTTATTATGCCCTAAATACTGAGCCTAAGAATTTTACATCAGTCTACTACTTAACTCTTAGGACAACCTTCTAAAGTAGGTACCATGTACAAATAAATACTGAATAGATACTATTTACAAATGAGGACACTGAGGCTCATAGTGGTTGGAGGACTTCCTAAGGTCACAAATGTAGAGAGTGGCAGAGATAGGATTTGAAACCTGTTCTGTCTGATTCCAGAACCCTTCACCTCTTTTCCACATGGCCTCTCTGTGCCTTGCTACAAGGACTTCCATTGTATTTTTGTCTTCATGCTGTGACTTTGCCCTTTTGTTATTTACCTTTCCCTTCTACTAATCCTCCTCTACCTCAGTGCCTGATCCTTTAAGGAGAGACTTTGTCTTACACTTTACATCTCCCAGGAAATCAACATAGAGATGAGAGGTTGTTTGGATGACTTCACATTTCTCAACTTCACAGTGGACTAGAGGAAGCTCCAGATTCTGTTTCATCATCCAGTTCCTGCTGGGACAGTTGCATCCATTACTCCATTACCTTCATGTCTCTTCCCTGTGTCTAGCACACACCCTGATCCCATCCAGTACCTTCTAAAGAAGTGAGAGAAACCCCTCTTTGCAGGCACCCCTTCAGCCATCTGCATCCCTCCCCCGCATCTCCTTACCTGAGGTCCAGAGCAGCAGCAGCCATGGCCACCCTCAGAGCCCTGTCCCCTCCATCCTATCCCAGTCCCAGGATCCATAGGATGCTGGGCATCCCAAGGCTCTTCCAGTTGCTGGAGGATGTTGCCCCCACAGGGATATTTTCCATGTTCCCTGAGAGGGAACTATTGACTATTACTTCGCAATTGAGAAGGGAAGTGTGAAGAGGGAGCAGCTCAGGAAAATACAGAAGAGAAAAGAGTGATCACTGCCCTTGTGACATCTTCCTTCCTGCTTCCATTACGTTACAGCCCCATTGGTCAAAACTGGAGAGCTCCCCATTCTCCACCATAGCAAGTTTGACACACCCAACTGATGTCCCACTTCTGCTCCACTCACTTCCTCAGGTCGCCAGGACTTTCTTATCCCTGACCACTACATCCTGCACCCTTCCACCGTTTTCCCTGTCTGGAATGACACCATGCGTCGAAATTTGTCTTGTCCTTCAAGACAGAGCTCAAACCTTGCTGATGACCTGCCTTCTTTACTCTTGCTCCACACTGTGGTTCTCAAGTATGGGCATGTGACTAAATCACACAGGAAGTTGGCAAGCATGCACAAGCCTGAGCTGCACTGCCAGAGATTCTGATTTGGTAGGTCTCGGAAAGCTCAGCAATCTGCATTTTAACGAGCAGCCCAGGGGATTCTGAGGCAAGTGGTCCAAAGAAGGGATGCCTGTAAAAGTTCTGTTTGAGGTGAGGTAAGTGCTGAGGCATTCCTCAGGTACTCATTCTGGATGCAAGGTGTGCACTTCCCTGAGCTCCCAGCCTAGGCAGAGGCATGGAGACCACAAACATGATGGTATTAGGAGTAACTACAACAGGTAGGATATATTTGTCATCTTTTGGCTCTCCAGCACCCAATACCTTCTCCACATAGGGGACATGCCCCAATGCACGGGTCTCACTAAGATGCAGAGTTCTACTTCCTCTACTACTGAGTATGGAGGTAAATATTTCTCCTGCATCTAAGTGCCAGGCATGTGACTTGAATTAAGCTTGGCCAAATGCAAGATTCGGTCTAGGATTCTGGATCCTAAAGGTGTGATACAAGGTGTAGGGCTATTGGAGAAGATGACTGACACAGAAGAAATGTAAGCATTAAGAGTCCAGGAATAGCATGGTGCCAAGGATGTGGTGGCTTCAAGTGTCCAAGGGCAGTGGCACCAATGACAAAATCACTAGATTGTGTGATATTGTGAATATAAGAAATATGTGTTCGGTCATGCAGATAATTAAAATATATTTCTCACTGGTAACTTCTATAGTAGATGGGTCAGAAGCACAAGTGCTCTCCAATGGCATCTAAAGATGGGGAGGGGGAGTCTTATGGAACTGAGCCCTCAATCTGTGGAATCTGATGTTATCTTTGGGTAGATAGTATCAGAATTGAGTTAAATTACAGGACACCCAGCTGGTGTCCAAGAATTGTTTGTTGGTGTGGGAAAACCACCCCCTCCCAAAACATACACACACGGGAATTGGGTGCAGAATTCTAACAGGTGATCAGACCCTTTGACTGTTTCTGCTATGACCTCAGCTGTGTCCTCTGCTGTGCGTTGCCTCTTGGTTTCACCAGTTAGATGTCTTTTTTTAAAATATTTATTTATTTATTTATTTATTTTAGAAGGAGAGAGCGGGGGAAAGGGCAGAAAGAGAGAGAGAATCTCAAGCAGACTCCACTCTGAGTGTGGAGCCCCACATGAGGCTCAATCTCACAACCCTGAGATCATGACCCCAGCTGAAACCCAGAGTTGGCTGCTTAACTGACTGAGCCACCCAGGCACCCCTCACCAGTTAGACTTCTGCAGGCTGTCCCTATGTGCACGTACGGTTATCACTCTGTCTTCCTTCTGTCTGCCCTATAACTGCCCTGTAACTCCCTTGCTCACCTGTGGTGTTCAGGCCCACCTTGTCTTGCAAACTCCAAAGATTTAAGTTGGTATTTTCTACCCCTTCTGGTCTAAAGGGAAGGGGTCCTATTTGTGGGCCACCATCCCTGCTTCTTGTGTGATACAAGGAGAAGAGGCATTTAGACATTGACAGAACTCCTTATTCCATTCTATATGGCTTTGAAGCACCTAGTCTTCAGCAAAGGAACTCTAGTTTTAGTTCCTGCTAGTAAGTAGTGACTTATTACCCATGTGGTCTCATTCTAGGCACATATTTCCTTTTTTTTTCATTTAACATTTTATTTTATTTTATTTTAATTCCAGTGTAGATAACATACAGTGTTATATTAGTTCCAGGTGTACAATATAGTGATTCAACAGTTCCATATACTACTCTGTGCTCATCACAAGAGGCACTTAATCCCCATCACCTATTTCCCCCAACCCCCACCCACCTCCCCTCTAGTAACCATCAGTTTGTTCCCTATAGTTAAGAGTCTGTCCCTTGGTTTGACTCTCTTTTTTGTTTTCTTAGCTCATTTGTTTCTTAAATTCCACATATGAGTGAAATTATATGGTATTTGTCTTTCTCTGGCTAGCTTAATCCACTTAGCATTATACTCTCTAGCTCCATCCATGTTGTTGCAAATGGCAAGATTTCATTCTTTTTTACGGCTGAGCAATATATATATATATATGTGTGTCACATCTTCTTTATCCATTCCTCTATCAGTGGACATTTGGGCTGCTTCCATAGTTTGGCTATTGTAAATAATGCTATAATAAACATAGGAGTGCATGTATCCCTTCAAATTAGTGTTTTTGTATTCTTTAGGTAAATACCCGGTAGTGTGATTCCTGGATCTTAGGGTAGTTCTATTTTTAATTTTTTGAGGAACCTCCATACTGTTTTCCACAGTGGCTACACCTGTTTTCATTCCCACCAAGAGTGCACAGAGCTCCTTTTTCTCCACATCCTCACCAACACCTGCCGCTTCTTCAGTTTTTTATTTTAGTCATACTGACAGGTGTGAGGTGATATCTCATTGTGGTTTGATTTGTATTTCCCTGATGGTGAGTGATGTTGAGTATCTTTTCATGTCTCTGTTGGCCAACTGCATGTCTTCTTTGGAGAAATATCTGTTCACGTCCTCTGCCCATTTTTTAATTGGATTATTTGTGGGTTTTATCATCTTGAGTGGAATAAGTTATTTATATATTTTGGATACTAATCCTTTATCAGATATGTCATTTGCAAATATGGCATTCAGTAGATTGCCTTTTAGCTTTTTTGGTTATTTCCTTAGCTGTGCAGATTTTTATTTTGATGTAGCCCCAATAGTGTATTTTTGCTTTTATTTCTCTTGCATCAGGAGACATATCTAGAAAGATGTTGGTATGGACAACGTCAGGGAGATTACTGCCTGTGCTCTCTTCTAAGATTTTTATGGTTTCAGGCCTCACATTTAGGTCCTTAATCAATTTTGAATTTATTTTTGTGTATGGTATAAGAAAGTGGTCCAGTTTCATTCTTTTGTATATTACTGTCCAGTTTTCCCAACACCATTTGTTGAAGGGACTGTCTTTTTCCCATTGCATATTCTTGCCTCCTTTTTCAAAGATTAATTGACCATATAATTGTAGGTTTATTTCTGGGCTTTCTGTTTTTTTCCATTGATCTATGTGTCTATTTTGGTGCCAATACCATACAGTTTTGATTACTACAGCTTTGTAATATAACTTGAAGTCCAAAGTTGTGATGTGTCCAGTTTTGTTTTTCTCTTTCAAGATTGCTTTGGCTATTCAGAGTGTTTTTGTGGTTCCATACAAATTTTAGGATTGTTTGTTCTGGTTCTATGAAAAATGCTGTTGGTATTTTGGTAGGGATTACATGAAATCTGAAGATTGCTGGGGTAATATAGGAATTTTAACAATATTTGTTCTCCCAGGCCATGAGCATGGAACGTCTTTCCATTTCTTTGTGTCATCTGCAAATTCTTTCATCAATGTTTTATAGTTTCTAGAGTATAGGTTTTTCACACCTTAGGTTAAGTTTAGTCCTAGGAGAAAAAGCATTTGACAAAGTACAGCATCCTTTCTTGATCAAAACTCTTCAGAGTACAGGGATAGAGGGTACATACCTCAATATCATAAAAGCCATCTATGAAAAACCTACAGCC